TCTTTAATGTGTTGATCCCGCTCCCACATGGCCAAATCTGAATCTGATTGGTCTGGTGAGTTCTGCTCGCTTCACCCTAACTTACTGGGACCCAGCCCCCAATACGAGAGGCAATTTCTCTGCAAGCAGCCAGCCCCTCCTGCATTGCACTCTTTCTTGGAAAACTACTGGAGTCCACGGGCCCCAGGCAGATGGCGACTGGCCTCAGTGTGCTCTGAGACCTTTGCTGAGTAGCTCCAGGCTCAGCATTGGCACAAAACCAGAATTTACATTAACCTGGTGAACACAACTCTTCCCACTCTAGTGCCTCCCTGAGACCCTGGCCTCTCTCAACTTGCATAATGCTTGAGGCTCTCTCAGCAGCTAAACCTTAAGGGAACCAACAGGTGTTAGTGGCCCTTGGGGTGTCCTGGCTTTTTGCAGAGCTACCCCATGCCGGGTACTGGTGGCAGATGTCTTTGGTTTAGTGTTTGGCTTCTCCCATATGCTTCCAGGTTTAGCATAGGCTGGGAACAACTGTGGATCACTTTGTAGCTCCTACCAGGTAGCCACTGGCCAGTCACAGGCAGTGTGTGACCTGGGCCTGCACTGGGGCTCCTCCCAAGAGGTCCCAGAATCAACATACTTGGAGGTTGGCTTCAGACCACAGCAGAGCACCGCCCAATTAGCTCCACAATTGGCACATGCAAAGGGTGGTCTCAACAGGCACCAGAGCCTGCTAGGGCGAATACCACTCAGTGGGGTAAGTCCATAAGCTGTGGATGTGGCCAAACCCCACAGCCAATCATCCTGAGGGTCAATCCCACCCACTGGTGTTCAAACAGCAATCAAGCCTCAACTATAACAGGAAGGCAAACACAACTCACACAAGAAACACTTCTGGAGTACCTAGAGCACATGACCAGGGAGACTGTTCCAGGGCCCCACAGGGCACCTACTATGTAAGGTCACCTGGCCGAGACTGGGAGACGTAGCAGATCTACCTAATTCATAGAAACAAACACAGAGGCAGCCAAAATGAGGAAACAAAAAAGTGCGCCCCAAGTGAAAGAACAGGAGAAACCTCCAGAAAAAGAATTAAACAAAATGGAGGCAAGCAACCTACCAGCTACAGAGTTCAAAACAATGGTTATAAGGATGCTCAAGGATCTTAGTGAGAACTTCAACAAAGAGATAGCAAGCATTAAAAAGGACATAGAAACCATTAAAAAAAACAGTCAGAAGGGAAGAATACAATAACTGAAATGAAGAATGCACTAGAAGAAATCACCAGCAGACTAGATGAAGCAGAGGATTGAATTAGTGATTTGGAAGACAAGATAGCAGAAAACACCCAATCAGAACAGTAAAAAGAAAAAAGAATTAAAAAAAAATGAGGACAGTTTTTAAGAGACCGCTGGGACAACATCAAGCATAACAACATTCACATCACAGGTGTACCAGAAGGAGAAGATAGAATGCAAGGGATTGAGAACCTATTTGAACAAATAATGACTGAAAACTTTCCTAATGTGGTGAAGGAAATAGATGTACAAGTCCAGCAAGTGCAGAGCCCCAAACGGAATGAACCCAAACAGGACCACACCAAGACACATTATAATTAGAATGGCAAAGGATAAAAATCGAGAATCCTAAAAGCAGCAAGAGAAAGGCAACTAGTAACTTATAGAGGAGCTCCCATAAAATTATCAGCTGATTTCTCAACAGAAACTTTGCAGGCCAGAGGAACTGGCAGAAAATATTCAATGTGATGAAAAGCTAGGATCTACAACCACGACTACTCTTCCCAGCAAGGTTAGCATTTAAAATCGAAGGAGAGATAAAGAGCTTCCCAGACAAGAAAAAGCTAAAGGAGTTCATCATTGCCAAACCAGTGTTACAAGAAATGTTAAAAGGACTTCTTTAAGAAGGAAAAATGAAAAGATCAAAATTATGAATAAAATGGCAATAGCTACATATCTATCAACAATTACTTTCAATGTAAATGGATTAAATGATCCAGTCAAAAGTTATAGGGGAGCTGAATGGATAAGAAAACAAGACCCTTACATATGTTGCTTATGAGAGACTCACTTCAGATTGAAAGACACACACAGATAAAAAGTAAATGGATGGAAAAAGATATTTCATGAAAATAGAAAATTGCTGGGGTAGCAATACTTATTTGAGACAAAATAGACTTAAAAACAAAGGCTATAAGAAGAGACAAGGGCCTGCTGAGTGGCGCATTGGTTAAGAGCTGGCTTGGGACGCCAGAGGGCCCCGTTCGGATCCCACATATGAGGGCCAGTGACGCTGCGCCCTCTACAGCTAAGATGCTGAACAACAGCTCAACCTGGAGCTGGGCTGTCATGAGTCAACGGTGAGGCGAAGGCTGCAGCCCCTGCTGCAGTGGGTTACCATGGGCTACTGTGTGTAGCCAGCAGCCAGCGTGAGCGGCCTGCAGCCACAGTGAGCGGCTGTCCAGAAGCCAGCGACTGATCTGCCTCGCCTGGGAAGAGCACAATGATGGTGCCAACTTGGGCCAGTGAAGCAACGTCCTCCACAACTAGACTGAAGAACAAAAGGACTGCAACTTGTCTGTCCTCATCCTCCAATTCCCCAATAAAAAAATCTTTTAAAAAAAAGAAGAGACAAAAGAGGACCAAGTAATCCCACTTCAGTGTTTATCTGAAGACACCCAAAAACCACTTTGAGGGGACGTGTGCACCCATATGTTCACTGCAGCATTGTTTATAATGGCCAAGATGTGGAGGCAGCCTGAGTGTCTGTGGATGGATGAATGGATAAAGCAGAAGTGTACATATATACAACGGAATATTGCTCAGCCGTGGAAGGGAATGGGTTCTTGTCATCTGCGGTGGCATGGATGGACCTGGAGGGTATTGTGCTAAGTGGAGTATGTCAGACAGAGAAAGACAGATGCAATGTGATTTCACTCGTATATGCAGAATCTAAAGAACAAAACAAACAAACAAATGAAATAGAAATAAACTCACAGATACAGCAAACATTTTCATGGTTGCCAGATGGGTGGGGGGTTGGGGGTGTGGGTGAAAAAAGGGGAAAGCGATTAAGAAGTACAAATTGATAGTTACAAAATAGTCATGGGGAAGTAAAGTAAATCATAGGGAATATAGTCAATATTATGGTAATAACTATGTTAGTGTTAGATGGGTATCAGACTAGTCAAGGGATCACTTCTTAAATTATATAAATGTCTATCCACTATGCTGTACACCTGAAATTAATATAAAATAATATTGAATGTCAATTGTAATTGAAAAATTAAAAAGAGGGGAAGGTGAAGTGGAATGAGAGGTTCAAATTTCCAGGTATAAAACAAATTAGTCATGGGGACGTAAGGTACAGCATAGGGAATATAGTCAATAATATTGTGATAGCGTGGTAGGGTGTCAGATGGTTGCTGGACTTATCATGGCGATCACTTCTTTAGGTATATAAATGCTGAATATCTATGGTGTGTATCCCTGAAACTAACTAATATGGTCTGCTAGAGCATACACTATTTTAGCTATTAGGCTTCTGTTAAATGACTTGGGTAGGCTGGCTTTGCCTTTTCTTTTTTTTTGAAATAGTGGATCTATGTTTGTAGAACGTCCAGCTTTTTATACAAGTAGCTATACACCGTTCATATAGGTTTATCAGTAGTTCTCAAATGCAACCCCTAGAGCCCAGCATCAGCATGCGCTTGTTAGAAACACAGTAAGGCACCACCCAGACCTGCTGAATCAGAACTGTGTGTGTGTATGTGTGTGTGTTGGGGGGGGGGGGGGCGGGCCAGCAACGTGTTTTCACAGCCCTTCCAGTGATGCTGACGCGCGCTAAATTTCTAGAACCACCGACTTAGATCCAAGTAAATCTTAAAAACAAAACAGAAACAACAACAACAACAACAACAACAACAACAAAACACTTTTGGAAGTCCCTCCAATCCCCAGGGGTTCCGCATTCCCTAGCAAAGCCCGAGAGGGACTCTCGCAGCCACAGGGCGGCAGGGCTGCGACCTCACAGTCCCAGAGCTCGTCAGGCCCCCACTCCCGGGCACTGCGGTGGGGGCGGTGCGCTCGGAACTCGGAACTCCAGCCGCGGCGGGCGGGACAAGGGGAGGAGCGGGGACGTGCTCCCGGGCCGCGCGTGAATGGCCTCCGGCAGTTCTCGGCTAGCGGCAGTGTCCTCTCCTCCGCGCGTCCGCCCAAGGTCCGCCCCAGAATCAGCCCTGGCCCACGCTTTCGGAAGTTCCCGGCCGGGTCTGGCTTCTGAGTAGGATTGGAGCCCAGGGCGCCCTGCGGTTCGCGGAAGGAAGGAAGAGGACGGCAGGGAGGCGCTCTGCGCGCTCGGGCCGCGCGGCCCGCCCGTCTTCCAGCTTCCCGGCAGGCAGGTTTTCCTCAGTTGCGCCCCCGCCCCGGGAACTTCCTGGGCCGATGCAACTGCTGGGAGTAGCCAGCTCTGTGACCCTCCAGAGGGCACACCGGTCAAGACCTGTGGGCTAACTTTACGGGCAGGAGGAAGACTGCTCACACCGGTGTCAACGAGAGCTGATCTCAAGTTCATCCAGGAGCTCCGGAGGCAGGACCGCCGCTGGCTCCGCGGGGATGGGAGGGAGGTGAAAGGGAGACCCCGACTTCCAGAAATCCGCCTCCCACTTTACACCGCTGGAGTATTCAGGAACCCCGCCCGCGCTGTCGCCTGGTGCCGCCCGCCTCGCTTCCAGGTGTTCTGCGGGCGCGTCTCCCCGCCCCCGGCCCTCCCCTGTCCAGGGCAGGTTCAATCCCAGGCGGCCTGGCCGGGAGCTGACCCCTGGCCGGCATCCTCCTCCCACTCCGCCCTGGCAGCCACCGCTAAAACCCCGAGGCTCCCACGTGGACCTGTGTTCTCTTCTAGAGCCCCCGGCGGGCGCTGCTCGCTGTCAACGATCCAAGGTGTTAAATGTCCAGGTGAGCCTTGAGCGGGGGTTGGAGACCCAGACAGGTCCTGGGGCCAGACTGCTTCATGGAGCCCCAAGGGGCGCAGCTGCTAACTTTGGAGGCTCAGGGACCCGCGTCCTTTGGAGATCCCCTGCCAGCCGAGGAGCTGCCCAACAGAGGGGCCCTCTACATGGAGGGTGGCAGGGACGGCTGCAGCATAGCGGAGTCCGGGAGCCCAGACGCCGAGCCCAGGTCCCCAGAGGAAGAGGCTGCCCTCCGGGAACAGGAGGAACTACTGGAACACCGCCGCCGCCGCCGCACGCGTTCCTTCTCGCTGCCCGCGGACCCAATCTTGCAGGCGGCCAAGTTACTGCAGCAGCGACAGCAGCTTGCCCTGGGGCTGGGCGCGGAGGGCGGCGAGGGCTCCGAGGACGCGCCGCACAGCCCACGTGGCTGCTGCGCCAAGTGCAAGAAGCGGGTGCAGTTCGCGGACGCCCTGGGGCTGAGCCTGGCCAGCGTTAAGCACTTCAGCGAGGCCGAGGAGCCGCAGGTGCCGCCAGCAGTGCTCTCCCGCCTCCGCAGCTTCCCCATGAGCGCTGAGGAGCTGCAGCAGCTTCCAGGCCTGATGGCGGCGGCGGCCGCCGCGCAGCCTCCCGGGCTCCGGCCTGCCTTCGAGCTTCCCGGGCCAAGCGCCGCGGCCGAGCGCCTGCGGCGGCAGCGCGTGTGCCTGGAGCGCGTGCACTGCTCGGCGCCCTGGGGCGCGCAGGTGACTGGCTCTGGCCGGGTGCTGGGCTGCCCCGGGCCGAGGACCGTGGCAGTGCGCTATACTTTCACCGAGTGGCGCTCTTTCCTGGACGTGCCCGCCGAGCTGCAGCCAGAGCCAGCGGAGCCCCAGCGGCCAGAGGCGCCATCGGGGGAACGTGGGCCCAGGGGTGCCGAGGATGAGCCGGGTGCCGAGCGCTTCCACTTCTCGCTGTGCCTGCCCCCCGGCCTGCAGCCGAAGGAGGGGGAGAAGATGGATGCGCCGGACGTCGCCGTCCACTTCGCCGTCTGCTACCGCTGCGCCCAGGGCGAGTACTGGGACAACAACGCGGGCGCCAACTACACGCTGCGCTACGTGCGCCCAGCGGACGCGCTCTGAGCCCCGGACCCGGCCCTCTGCCCCGCGACACCCCACAGAGCTCGAGGGACCGTGGGACCGGGGGACTTGCCCGGACGCTTTGCTGAGCGTCGTCCACCTGGAGGGGAGCGTGGAAAGACAGGAGGGAGCCGTTCAATCGTAAACTCGCACTCAGACAGATCCTGCAAGCAAACGTGTGAGCTCTGGCAAAGCACCCAAACTCCAACCCCTTTTCTCGTGGCTCAGGCCTTCCTAGCCGACCTCTTGAATTCTCCTCGTGTAAGAATGGGAAGAAATCCTCAAGACTCGGAGCAGTTTTCTTCAAGTAAAAGGCTCCTGACTCTTGAGCGATACTGTAAGATCTTGGGATATGTTTTTAACTGTAGACATCGTGTTTTTAGCCTTTGCAGATTGCTGGAGACCACTCTGGTCCCAGAAAGGACGAAGCATCCCACCACAGTGAACCAAGGGAAGGCGCTGGACTGTGGGTGCACGCTGGAGACCCCACCGGGGTCTGTTTCCCAGAGACAACCGGGTGGGGGCGTGGCCTGCTGTCCTTTTCTCTTAACCGGGATCTGGGAGATGTTTGCCCAGACTTTGTGCCTTTGTGTACAGATGTCCTTTAAAAAAGTAAAGGCCACTTGCACACCCTTTTACGCTGCAATTTATATTTCAGCTCCTGTGGGCTTTGGGCGGTCTTGGCATCCAGGCGCTCTTCCTCAGCTGATGAGGCGGGCTTAGTTTAACAATAGTTAAACAGTGGTATTTCCAAATTTCCTTTCTTCAATGTCACCTCTCTGATGCGGAAGGGCCCAGATTGCCCATACTGGGCAAAAATAAAAATGTTCTTTGAAATGTTTTGTTGAAGGGTTCTGTGCCCCGCCAAAAAAAGATGCTGGTGAGTTGAAAGGCCAGAGTGGTAATCTGGTAGGGCTTGGCTGGGAGCCCCAGGAGAGAGCCATTCGTCTTCAGCCCTCTTTGTGTAAGCAGAACAGGTAACAGCTGCTAGATTCCTCTGGGCCATTAGCAGTCAGGGAAGCTGGCCTCAGTGGCTGGACTCCAAGTGCAGGAGATGGGGGATGAAAAGGTGGCTTTCTGTCCTACTTGGAGCCACAGTGGGTAGTGGTGACTTGAAGGATGATGAAACATGCCCAGCAAGTAAATGCTGCTGAGAACTAGATAGGTACCCTGCAAGCAGCAGAACTGCGGGCACCGCATCTGGTCACCCTTCATCACTGCTGATGGCTGTGGATGCCAAGATGAGGTGACCATGTCCGAGCAGGGTGGGTGGGTATCCTGGATAAGGACTTGATTCCTTCCTACTGTGGGCATTCTTTGGTAATTTGCCTTTCTTTAGTTCCCATATTTCCTGAATGGGACTAGTATAATCAATTCGTTTTTTAATGGTAATCTTTAAGGAGGGACAGACGGTTTCACTGTGGTTCTATGCAACAAGGATAGGCACGCTATAGGTCATGGGCCAAAGTCAGCCTGAAGCCTGTTCTTGTAGGGCCTGAGTACTAAAAATGGGTTTTACATTTTTGAAACAGTTGGAAAAATTCAAAAGAAGAATACTATTTTGCAACATATGAGAATTGTATGAAATTTAAATTTCAGTATCCATAAATAAAGTTGTATTTGGAACACAGCCATGGACATTCATTTACATGACTGCTTTTCTGCTACAAGAGCGGAGTTGAGTAGATGCAACAGAGACCATATGGCAAAGTCTAAAATATTTACTATCTGGACCTTTACAGAACATTTCCCAAGCCCTGCTCTAAAGAAGTAGCATTAAAAAAAACAACAACACAACACTAAATGCTGAGAGTTACACCTAATAAAACTGTTAAACTTTTAGTAAAATTTGCCACTTGAGATCTACCTCCTTTGGGTGAAGGTAGAACTGCTTACATTACTCTTAGTAATCTTGGTTAGGATACACACTAAGATATGAAATGTACAATTATCACTGTACTGGGGAGGGGAATCTACCTGTTGCCTTCTTTCATCTGTTAACCTAAAAATAAAAAGGCCTTTCAAAGTGAGGGGCAACACCATTTATTTGAGATCAAAGACCAGCTATTTGGGAAGCTCTGATTAAGGCAGGAGCCCAAATAGTGTTCCAATTAGGAGACAAAGGTAACGGGTTTATGAGAAAGGGAAGGGGAACAAGTACATCATCAGAAGAAAGGCATTTCTATTAGTGCAGATAACATAAGGATGCTACTTCTAAACAGTGTTTTTAATTTTCATTCTAGTAGTCATAATAACTGTTTTCTTGTTGTCTTTGCAAACACTTCTTTGGTGTACAATATTGCTTTAGACTCAGTCCATAGGTTATTTTGCAGTTTTAACATTTCAAAGGTTTGAGGCACAGTACCTGCAAGGCAGTGTCTCTGGCATGATATCTCCCGCTCCATTTTAAAGTGGCTCCATTTATTATTTTTTGATACATCTAAGAAATAATAAGTCAGTGCACCTGAAATATAGCACCCATCTGAATTAACATCATGCTACAAAAACTGCCAGATATTTCCATACCTCAAGTTGGGATATGTTAAGCTATAGAAGTATTTACTTGGAACTCTGATGTAGAGCATCCTTTGACTGTAGCAGAGTTTGCCAAAGTAACTGATCATGGAAAAATGTTTAAATAGCAACTTATTAGTGGAAAGCCATCAGAAGTTATGAATTATAATTTATACTTGGAGTAAAGCAGATTAAAAAATGGTCACATTGATCAAATAATGAACTTAATTCACATATACTTATAAAAACTTTATAACAATAGAAATGAGCAATGATTAGAATTACTTCATTTTTGTTATTACTAACTACAAAAGCAAGCAAGTCTCTCCATGCAGACTTTGGTATTGGGTCTCATCTACCATTTCCTTTTGAATAGTGCATTATTGCATAATAATGACACCTAGAGACAGTTTATATGTTTCTTTTGTGTTTATGAGTACATTTTAGTTGGAGAGTATTGATAATGAATACAGCCTATAACTCAGATTGATATGCTGGTTTATATGTTAATAATTTTGGATTGTTTTGGATTATTTAAAATAAAATTAGGATAAAATTAGAATCCCAATATAATGTTCAAAATAAAGATCCTCTTGCCTGGTATTTTTTAAAATGATAATTCATTAAATATAGAATAAAGTAGATAAGAAATGAGTTTTTAAGGGGTATGTACAGCAACTTTTCCTGGACTTTTTTTTTTTTTTTTAAGCTGAGCCATCCTGCCACCTGTTGGAAGCTCAGCGGCAGCTCAGCTCGGGCCGGGCATCAAACCACTGTTGCTCAGAGCTCAAACTCTTGAGCGAGCTCTTAACCAACTGAGCCACTCCGCTGGCCAGAGAAAAGCTTTTTTTTTTTTTTTTAAAGATTTTTATTGGGAAATTGGGGGATGGGAACAGCGCTGGGGAATTGGGGAAAGGGGAACAGGCAAGTTGCTGTCCTTTTGTTCTTCAGTCTAGTTGTGGAGCATGTTGCTTTACTGGCCCAAGTTGGCACCATTATTGCGCTCTTTCCGGACGAGGCAGATCAGTTGCCAGCTTCTGGACAGCTGCTCACTGCGGCTGCTGGCCACTCACTCTGGCTGCTGGCTACATACGGTAGCCCATGGCAACCCACTGCAGCAGGGGCTGCAGCCGTCGCCGGCGACTCATGGCAGCCCAGCTCCAGGTCGAGCTGTTGTTCAGCATCTTAGCTGTAGAGTGCAGTGTCACTGGCCCTCATATGTGGGATCCAAACCGGGGCCCTCTGGCATCCCAAGCCAGCTCTTAACCAACGCGCCACTTGGCCGGCCCAGAAAGGCTTTTTTAAGGTTTGGAATTGTGTAAAATATTTTGAACAGCCCAGCCTGTCTGCACATGGTTATAGCCTTGTGCCAGAACTGGCAATCTTCTAAATGTCAATTTAGTTTATAAAGTGCCAACTTTCAATATAGAACGATAGCAAACATTTATTAAAGAAATCTAAGGAAGTTAAAATAGGTTTTATTTGTTTTTGAAAAGTTAGTTTCAAAGGAAGGGTCAATATTGACCAGAGTAAGGAAATGTTTAAGAGTGTATTTCCTGAATGGAATAAAAACACACATACTCATCCCACAAGCAAAATTCTTACAATGCAGGGAATTACTGCTGCTTTTTTTGCAGTAATATTACCTCAACTTGAATAAATGAGGGTCATTCTGCTTTAAAAATCTAATAGCTTAAACATCTTGCCCAGCTCTAGAGATCAAAAACTAAGTTCTCAGCTCATCGAATGACCCTGACCTCCAAGAAAAAAGTTCCAGTTTCTTCCCTATAGGCAAGTGGGTCCATGGATCACTCACTGTGTGCAGGGATGTTAAATGAAATGTGTGTCCGTATCTAAAGAATTTCTTAAGCAGCGGCTGGAAATGTGGTAGTCTGTATGTGAAACCAGCAGTTAACAGTAAACATGTTTAGGTATTAGATCTCAGAGTCTTGAGATGTAGATTCAGGCTTTAACTGACAGTTTCAATTGCTTTGTTTGTCACGTAGCTTATAGTCAAAGATTAAGAAAATATGTTAGCCATGTTCTGAAGGCTGCCTGTAAAGCAAGTTCCAGAAGAAATGTTTAAAAGTGTACTTGGGATAATAGAAAAATGTAGCTATTTAAGCACAAAACAATGATAGCTGCAACAATAACAATCAATGGTCATGAGACATTTAGCTTCTGACTTTTGCCTTAAAGACAATGTCACGGATGCAAAATCATGAGATATTTTTCAGAATCTTGGTTTTTCAACTCAGTTATATCACCTGACCAAAGTGACAAAGGCACCAGACAAGAAGACACCAGGAACTGAATTAATCAGACTAAGGAACACCACTAAGGCTTACACAGGAACTAACCAATCAGCTTCATCCTCGACCCCTAATCCCTAACCCTCTATCTCTGCCTTTAAAAACGGTTGGGGAGTTCTGGCTTGCCACTCCACCAATAAACTGCTTTCATTTCTCCCCTGCAAAGGTTGGTGTTCAGTGTTTGGCTCTGCTGCGCATCGAGTGGGCAGATCCTCTACTGTTTGGTGACATATGGAACAAAGTGTCCCCTCATGGCCCCCACGTTTATAAGTCAAGGTCTTGGCTAGCAGGTTCCAAGAGCTAACTAGGGAGGCCAGGATCCTACTCCAGGGAGTGGGCACTGGACCCTGGGAGCCCAGTGAGCTCTGGGGACACGGAGGCATCTCTGTCCACAGGCAGCAAGGCCACACCCAGGCAGCCTTCCCCCAGCACCTGAGAGTGGGCAGTTGTCATCCATGCACCTTGGCCCATGCAACAGGGCACTTTCTCCTATTACATGAGCAGTAGGCTTCCCAACTGACAGCCCCATGACCTGCTCTGCCCTCCCATCTGCCCTGACCAGGGTGAGGGCTTCCCTGGGGACGCCGCTGAGCCTACCCACAAGAGGTCAGCTCACAGTGAAGCAAAGACTTCTGCTCATTTCATTTTTGGAGTTTTAGTATTAGGCTCTTTGTACATTATTTCATGAGTTTCCTATATTTCTGCTATCTAGCGCAACAGTTTTGCATATTTTAGGATGGTACATTTTTTTTATTACTTGACTTAGTCACATGTTTCTTAAGAGTGTGTGGCTTGGAGCCACTTGGG